GCCTAACAAAGCATTGCGCAGCGTTGCCGCACTCAAGACAAACACAATTAAATCTAAATGACCCAGCCAGGTCAATTCGAGCTACTTCCTTAATATAATGAGCCGGTTGCAAAACAAACAGAAAGCCCCCGCCAAGTTTGAAGAAAGATTCCCATTATACTTGACAAACTCTTTCATTATCAACGATTTATGAAGAGTTTCACTGGGGTTGAAACTTTCAGAAATTCCTCGGTAAAGAAGATTAATTGACTGTTTAAAAATTTGTTGGTTTTGCTGTTTTATTTTAATAATTGTATGACTTGATGACATCATACGTTCCATCAGTGTTTTATTATTGCAAAATAACTAATTAATACTTAACATGATAACAACATGCAACACTGATAAAAATATGAGAGTTTTCTGTTATCTGCCAATGCTTGTACCCTATAATTTACTCATAGCTCTTGCTCTAGTTTCTAGATTATTGAGATAGACCTGTGTGTTTTCTGTGTGTGTTAAAGTTAGACAAACTTATCACACTCAATAAATTTGAGTCATTTTGTACTTAATCACTAAAATAACATAAACATTCATTTTTAAGGAACATACTTTTATTTTTGTAAGTACCCAAAAAAAACTTATGTGTTTGTTCTCAATAAGTGTTCTCAAACTTGAAGTTCTATTGATTCCACGATTTCGGTGATTCGAATTAACGAAATATTTAGGCTCAAAAGAGCCATTATATCTTCCGAATTTTATCATAACCTTTCACAATTGACTTAATTTATGAGTCAGCATTTGTTATAAGAACTGGGTTACCCGTCTTGAAAATTTTCATAAACAGCAAGGGAAGTAAGACACAAGTCAGTCAATGTACCGAAGGTAGAACATTGCTATTTACACAGGATCTCCGCGGATCCTGCAACCTCCTTTGTTGAACAATCCTGCAGGATCATCCAAGCAGAATAAGGATCCTGGATTAGCTTTCATCTTCTCCGCTGTATCTTATTTGCAGACGCGCCCCTATGTATATTTCCCGTTCATTACAATGTTTCCGCCCTGTTCGCATTCTTCTAACTCGTTAATGATGTTTGTATCAACCCTCATTTTCTTAGTTGGTAAAACACGGTATAGGGGTAGTTGATTACGTTGTTGCTGATTGTGTTTGGATTACATTGGGACCTTCGTATGACAACGACTGATCGGTTTATAGTTATAAATGTTTGCAACACGTTTCAAATTAAAACCACAAGATCAATAACTAGTACAGAAAGAGTTTGATTACTATCCTTTATTTCTAAGAGCAAAACATACCATTGACGTACTAGCATCTTGAAAATATTATATCCTATGATTTTCAATCACAGTATTAAATAAACACATAATGGCTTAAAATTATTCCTACAAATAAAGTAAGTTGTGAGTGCTATTTATTTAATCGCTACTGGATCCAGATACTCTTTATTTGTCGTAGGACTATTAAATAATGATCCTATCTATCAAACGGTCTACAAATTTTTTTGTCCTAGGACGCTAGGCACGAGCCTGGGATTGTTTTTCGCATTACTTCAGGCTAGACCTAGGGGTTGCGGCATTATCACTTAGATCAAATCCATTGGTGACTTGGTGGGGATCGAACCTGGGAACTCAGGGACTGAAGTCCCGCACTCAAATCACTACACCAGCTCGCTTCCCAAACGGTCTACAATAGGTACTATAGTAACGAGTAATTCAAAAAGCTAAATGCAAAAATATACATTTTAAAACAATAAATAAATACATTGAAATATTACGCATAAAACACATACAACTATTTTTAAGCAATGGAGAATTTACATAATAAAATGTATATTATTTTGTATTCTATACATTTGATCCAAATTTAAAATAAGTTGATTGGAACACTTTCTTAATGTGTTTACATAATAGTCCTTTAATTTAAAATTCAACAATTTAAAACATTTAATTGTTGAAACAGCTGATTGCCCAGAGCTAGGTCCTGTCTATCGTCGGCGTTCCACGCTGGCCTTTTAGCTTTAATTGTGTTTGTTTTGAGCTCAGCTAAAGTCAACATTGAACATTCTCGCTGTTGGTTTCCCTTTTGTGTGATCAACTGTTATCTGGGCCCGCGCCGATAAAACTAATTGAAAATGTTTCTCCTCCTTCCATTCTGATAACTCGATACAATTTTCACCATAATAGACGAATAGACATTAGCCTATTGTTTGAAGTAAATTACGTTATGGTATTAATTAAATATTGTATGCTGCATTGACTGTTTGCTGTTCTTGACTAGCTCTTAAACGTTATTAGTTTCTCTTTTTGTATTTAGTATAGTTCAATAATGTTTTTTTCTTATTCTTAATTTTTAATTCGATTATCAACAAAAATAGTTGAAAGAGTCTGATAAATTAAATAATTTCCTTACGTTCAATCTGTTCTATTAAATCTTCTTTTCCTTCAATGTATCACTTATTTCAACAATGAATTGTTTTTATTGAACTATTATTAAAGATGTAAGAATAGCGTTTCTGCAAGCTAAATTTATACATCGTATGGGTAAAGTTTTTAAGTTTTGAGCACTATTGTATTATTTAAAATAAATAATTCATTACTCTTCTTTTCTTAGAAAAAATTTACAAATTTCTTTATAACAGGTTACGTACCTTGACGTCCACAATTCCTTAGTCGGTATTCGTTGACTATAGTTTCGACTACTGCGTAGTCATTATCCCGACTAAGGAATTGTGGACGTCAAGGTACGTAACCTGTTATAATTGATTACCAATTCCGGAAGGCTTCAACATGAATAAATTTCTTTAGTTGCATAGATAAACACAAAAAAGTAAATTTAACATTCAAAAGAGTAAATATCTACATAATATTTTTTATCAAGTTTTTACTTTAACCATGTTAATTCATCACTTATTTTTACTCGAAAACATGTCCTTTAACTTTTAAAAACACTTCCTACAGCATAAAGTTCGAAAACCATTTAAGTCAAAACTACTCGTTAATGAAAGACATATGTATAAGATTTTACCAATAACTTCTACCTATTTTAGCAAGGGATGTTTTCAAAAGTAGTTATATTGTACAGCCCTTGTTGAAGGGAAGTTTCCCTACAACTGTACCAGGGTTTCGACGTCAAACATCAACATGGAGCTTCATCACAGAATGTTGACAAAGACAAGCAAACTTGGCAAGTCATTGTCATATGAGGTACACTCCAAACCTGTCGCTACGGTTAAACTTTGGGCTTTAACGCAATATTGATCAGGGAGGAATTAATTTTGGTGTCCATCAAAAAGGTTTGAAATAAAAAAAATCAATTAGAGGTTCGTATGAGATACAAGTGTATGGTAAAATTTAGTTTAAAAACTATGAGAAAAAGGTTGATTTAAGGGTTTGACTGTTCTGCGTTTTGAAGGATGAAATATACAGTATTACTTTGTATGATTGAATGTGTGCTGTTGATCTCAAAAACATAATTTTCCAAATAAGGACAATAATTTATTGTAAATCCAAATTTACATTAACTTTTGTTATTTTCTAAATTTCGATATTTCAAAAAAACTATACAAACATAAAAAGTGCAAACGAGATTTTGATCCTGATTTTCAATACAAACACATAGGTCACGTAACGATAAATTAGTCTTAAAATACAACCAATACAATCTACAACCTTTATTTTGTTAATTAGTTTTTTGGACTTTTCCAACGTTTCTTTTGTTTAAAACTACACAATTTTTCTGGGGGTGGATTCAGTGTTTATAATTATATTTTATCTATAGCAAATAAAAAAAAACTCTCATACAGTTATTTTACGAAATTATAATTTTTACCCAAACGACAAAGAAAAATTTACGTCACTTTCCTCTGGCAAAAGTTTTTATAATTTCAACTTCTCAATCGACATAGCCTTGTATCTTCAAAGTTCCAGAAGTTGCAAAACCCGCCGACAGCAACTTGCATGTGATATCCAATTTAATAAGAGCTGGAATGAAAGTGCTCGCTGCAGACTACGAGCGACGAGCGACTTAGACAATCGCTGAATGCGCCAGACTCATTATGAATGTTAATACAGTTCCTCAGCAAATAGAGGCTTTCAGGACCCGCCTTCGCGAGAGGCAATTCCCAGCTTTTCAATGTAAATAGCTGGCGCGTTGTGGATTTAGTAATCGAAAAGGATACTAGACGATTCCTGCGTTTTGAGTAATTTAAAAGAAAATATGTGGCTTAGGAATTTTTAAGAGATGTTTATCCTCTTATGATACATGCAGATATGTTTGGTTATATTGGAAAAGACAGCTCATAAACTTGTTTTTTGTTGATTGTTGTATTTAGTTTACGATCAAATACCGTAATTACAAGAAACATTTTAAATTATTAAGTATGTCCCCGATTGTAATCCATGTACTACCATAAATTGTGTAAACTCACTCTAATGAGTGGGAACGGTTTTCATTATTCATATAATTACACACTAGATAAATCAATCATGAATATGTCTCCTTCACATTCCTTTTAAAGGCTTTTAACCAAATAAAACTATTTTATAGATGCATCCAGGTATTCATTGATTTAACTTAACGTATGCTGGATTTGTAAGCTACCATTTCTTTACGAAAAATATCGAAAAGAAGTAAATATAATTTATAAACTTGTATATTTTAACACTTTATTAGAGCTGATTTGCAACTTATTTCGAAGCCTATATAATAATAGTAATACATTTTGTAAAGTGGTTATTGTACTTGCCTTCAAACGTGAAGGTCGCTGAATTGATTCCAAACAAGATCGTTACCAGAAGCAGATTTCATTTGTCATTGAGCGATCAACTAATGATGCTATCCAACAAAAGGTCGACGCAAGACAGGTTTGGGACCAGGGTTTAGAGCGTACAAAAGAAGTTAAAAAGTTCTCACTGTGTAGATGAACACCAAAAAAATAAAAATAAATTAAATTAAATCTTATATTATTGTTGTCTAATAATTGTATTGCCTTTTGTTGCAGGCTATGATCTTCCCCACTACTCCGCCTTCCTCCCTCGCGAGCCGTCGGTCACGCCACCGTCCTACGCCACCCTCCAGACGCCCTCGGAGTCCCTCAGGGCAGTTCCTCGGCCCAAGTCTCTGGCCATGTGCTACACCAGCACGGGCGCCGCTCTGTCTCTGCCGCCGAAAAAGAAGGACATCTACAGGCCTTACTCCCTGGACGACCGGCCCTCGTTGCCATGGAGACCTGCCGAGGAGGATCTGTCCGCCGCTCATGCTATCCTCGACCTTAGTGCTTCCACGCCTGCACCACTGCCACAAGTACAGGTGCGAATAAGTTTGAGTTCAATATATTTCATGTTACTTTAATACCCACCACTTGCTGTTGTTGGTATTAATGGCTTAACACCATTTAGCAACATGATAAATGAAACAAGGGTGTAAATTATATTAATTATTAGTTGTTCACGCTGTCTTGAACTGACAAAGAAAGGTTGCTAAAAAAATATGGTTAAAAGAGTGCTTTAAAACATTTATGGGCTTAGGATTGAAACAGCGCTGAATTTTATTTACACATGGAATTCAATATTTTATCTTCCCAAACACGAAATCTACGGTCATAGTAATAACATACTGATAAAATATGCGTACACGGATAGTTAAGGCTGGCTGCCTGCTTCTTGTAACACAATCACAATTGGGTACCCATGTTAAAAATCATGGACTTGTTACACAAAACTGAAAACCAAAGGATTTAATTTTTAATGCTGTGTTTGTTTCGCAGGTAGAAAGCAAGCAGTCACAGGGCAAAACCGTCGCTTACACCTACGAGGCCTTCTTCATCAGCGACGGGCGGTCGAAGAGGAAAACGGTGCCGGGAATACTGGAGGACTCGAGGCCCAAATACACCTGCAGCGAGTGCGGCAAGCAGTACGCCACATCGTCCAACCTGTCGAGGCACAAACAGACACACCGGAGTCTCGACTCTCAGGCGGCCAAGAAGTGCATGACCTGCGGCAAGGCGTACGTGAGCATGCCGGCCCTCGCAATGCACCTGCTGACCCACAAGCTGACCCACGGCTGCGGCATCTGCGGCAAACTCTTCTCCAGACCGTGGCTGCTGCAGGGACATCTCCGGTCACACACGGGGGAGAAGCCGTACGGCTGCGCTCACTGCGGGAAGAGCTTCGCCGACAGATCCAACCTGCGCGCTCACATGCAGACGCACTCACTCGACAAGAACTTCGAGTGTACCAGGTGTCACAAGTCCTTCGCTCTCAAGTCCTACCTCAACAAGCACCTGGAGTCCGCGTGTCTGGGAGACGACGACGTCCTGGGGTCGAACTCCCACAGCTATCCTCCATCCGTCTAGTCCTCGTTGTGGGTAGGAGTCCTCTTCTACTCTTCGGATATCTTCACTAACTATCGACGACACTGTCTTCTATTTTTTAGTTTGTCCTTATCGAAACCGAATTACTTTTCTAGTCAAATCTAGTCACACCGCGATACAGGGAGATCCAAGAGGGAAGGGATTCAGTGGCCTACGCCCTAGTCTCACGTAGCCTTAGTTAGACGCTGTGCACCGTCCACTTTACGTGTCTAGTCAGAGTATCTAAGTCTTAGTTTTAACGAGAATCAAAAGAGCGCTATAGATTTGTACCCGCGTGTTGTTATATCGTGTGTATTATTTCGGTTTCTAGTCGAGCGTACGCTTCGTTTCCGTTCATGTTAGATTCGTTAGAGAGCTATGCGATGAAGCGGTAGTTTTGTAAATGAGTTTTCCGTTTTGCTCGTGTTCGAGTGTGAACAACGCGTTTCTAAACAACGAAGTATTTATCGAAATATACAACGATGTACTAGTCAGTATTTTGTAAGTATCGGTAGACGTAATTGTACATAGGTGCACTTATATACAGTTTCATTGATCCGTTTTGAGGTTATGTTTGTATTTTGAGGGTAACATTTCATCGAAATGACCGTATGACTTTTGATCTCACCCGTAGAGTAGGCAGACCACTATTCAGTTGCCGTTTAGGTGTTAGAGTAGTCATATATGTCGGGTTTATATTTTTTTTGCAAACCATGCTTGTGAACTCATATTCTCTCTTATTCACATTGATGTCAAGGTTTGAATGTAAAATAGTCATCAGTTTGGCAGCGATAAAAGACATGTAAAAAGACACCGATTTTCCGGTTCAGCATCAATAATTTTTTGTTATCTATAGAAATGGACGGACAGAATGTTATTTAATACAATATTCCTTATTCATTTTAAAATTTTTACTACTGAATTTTACATTAAATTTAACACCCATAAATATTTAAATATATTTCCAAAATGTTTAAGCAGGCATGGTATAGTGTTATTTGCCTGAGATTTTCGATCCAGTCATTCAGCTAGAGTTCCAAAGATGTTTGTAATAAAATGTAAGAAACTTTGTTTTATTGTATATACTTCGTTTTAAGTCATGTAAAGAGTCATGTATATTATACATAAACAAAACGGAATTGAAATCACAATTTTCAATTGGTATCCGACTTTCAATTTTTCTTCAAACCTTTTCTAAAACTCCTCAAAAGTTGATAACTTATTATGTTCCCAAACGATAAATATTTGGAAAATAAAATACATCAGAGAAAACAGTAAATGTTCAGATCGGTTTTGTTACTGTAATATATTGTTATTGACGTTTCCGTTTGCTATTCGTACCATACAGTAACATTCCAAGTTCTAGTCAGGGTCTAGTCCCTTATTTTGTAGTCATAGTGTATATATTCGTGTATAGAACGGCAGGGGAAGGTATTTGTGCAATATGCAGTAGATAGAGTGTGACTTGCGTTCCGTTTGCATTTATCAGTTAAAACATTTAAAAAAAGGTGATTCGCTCTGTTCTTAGGGGTTGCAAATGTTTGCACATTTCGTACAATTTTTCTATTGACTTCCTTGGTAATATTGTTTCATTAAATTGTATGGTACCATACAGGTATGACTTATTAAAACCACAATTCTTTAAACTCACACTTATTCTCTATTGCATGCAACAATCTTTTTCTAAATGCTTTACATGTATTTTGTCTCTATATATATTTAATTATCATCTCCTTTTTACTTCTTTCCCGTTCAACATGCTTAACATAAAATATTTAAATCCTCAAAATACTGTTGATAAAACAATACATTAATTATAATTTCTTATAAATACGAAGTAACTACATACGATTTACACAAAACATCAATTTTTATCAATACGAAGTAAGTACATTCAATTTACACAAAAACATCAAATATCAAAACCAACTACTTTCATTGCACTCAACTCTATTCTTCATCTTCTCTTCACCCTGCTTTCCTCTTACTCTGTTCTACTGTCGCTTCTATAATGCTCTAATGTATACCTTCTAAAACTACCCTATACTGTAATACTCTATCCCACTCTTCCAACTATCTCTTCTTCCTCTTCTTCTTCTTCCTCTTCTTCTTTTCTTCTTCTTCTTCCTCCTCTTCTTCTTCTTCACAACTACTATAACTTTCCTTCTGCGTTCTTCTTCGTCTCAATCTGTCCACTTTAACCTTTCCCTGAGGCATTTTTCCTCTGTTTACGCTTGACTGAGGTAAGTAGCCCAGAGCCGGGGGGTAGGGTTTATTGGTTTTGGGGGGGGTCGCCCCATGTTTGCTCTGCGGCGTCAGCAAACATCACCGCTCAGATGCCGTTTGTTGTGCGTGTTTGGACGGGCTTAGAGTGCTAATTGTGAGCAAATATAAGAGCGCAACATCATTAGGCGTAATCCTGTAAGCTCATTAGCGGGACAAAAGACACAACTGTTGTGGTCAGACGAAAAGGATTTCGTCCGCATTCATTGTTGGTAACAGCATTGAATGTATAACACTATATTCATTGGTAAAAGGAAAGATAAACTTGTATTCATATTCAAAGCTGTCAATAAATACGTCTTATTATTGAAGCGCCCACCGCCCACTATGAGTTTTTTATACAGTACTATGAATATGGTTGTAGTGCTCACAGCAAAATTTGAAAGTTGCTGATTCAATTTCAGAGTGTTCTTCATTTTTAGACAAATCTGTTATACACCAAAAATTTTTAAAAAATTATAAAATTATTGTGTTTCCCTTTTTAAAACGAGCATTTAACAAAGATTGTTTGAAGCTATAGTCACTAGTCCTTCTCAAGTATTGTTCCGCCCTTTACAAGAGAAGCGCCAGAACAGCCAGCATTAGCGTATGAATGGGAACACAGAGCGCCATTGTGACTGTAAATCTTGCCGTAGCACCCCCGAACAATAGTGGACGATATTTCATCCCCAAGTATTTTGCAAAGGTAAAAAGCACACGATTCGCAAATCCCGACAATCCAGTAATGGGTTTTAATTCCGGTAATAGTTAAAAACTCCATCTCTCATTCGGACGACAATGAATCCCCCGCCCCCTAACGGCTCCTGGGGGAACTAACCCCTGCCAAACAAACAATGTCATTCCAACGTCGGGGATTCGCTTCGTTTACAACATTGCGATGTTCTCTCACTCTCTCTCTATCCCCCTATTTCTCTCTAACTCTTTCTCGCTCCCTCTATTTTCTGTCTCTCTATCCCGCATGTCCCAATGAATACTCTCATTTGCATGCAAGTCACTACCTACTTTAGAATATGGAACTTTGAAAGTTGATAATTGTTGGGGACACTTAAAATTGCTATTGTAAAAGGGAGATGTGGAAAACCAACTCTACACCATTGTTTATAAAGTGTTTTTTTCGTACATACACTACTATCCCACCATTGGTAGTACAAATACACATAATGGCACATTTACACTCTCCTTCTCTTTCATCTTTACCTCTTCTCATCTATCTCTTTTCTGTCTCTTTACTAGTCCACCCTTCACCTGTACTTCTGTATCGTCTTTTCTTCATCTCTTCACCTTCCACCTACTTTTTACTTCTTATCTCTAACTTCTGTGTCTATCTGTCTTCCATAGTGTACTTTCGTGGTGCTACTATTTTCTCCTTTACAAGATTATTCACTAACGTATTCTACTAATTCTGTGTGTACTGGCCCCGTATTACAGAGCGAATCAAGATTGAAACGAGTGGGTTCTAGTCAATGAAACATTCCAACTAAGTACTTAATTAGGATAAGAAATTTAGAATAAGATTGTATAAATAGTATAAAGTTGTAATATAGAGCAATAACTGACGAAAGTCACTTGTAACTCAGTCATCGATACTTACGTTTACAATTAGAGTGTTAGGGTTGAATTTTTGTAGAAAATAGGCTGAATGTTTCACCAAATACGAAGCAATGTTATGATCACTATTCAGTATTCAGAAGCGGTAATATTTACGTCAATTACCTAAAAAATATTGTGTGAAAAACAAAAGTGCGATCAAGAAATTTGTCTATTTGTTACAGTTTTATTGATATTGTTGAGAAATGTAAAGTTTTATTGTTATTTGTTGGTAACATTGCTTCCGGCGTGTGTGCACGTAGTGAATGACGTAGTGTGTGTAGATGACACTTGATTTTGTTACTAGTTTTTGTAAACTTGTATTTTGTACATTCATTATTGGCGATAGCGCGGGGTAAGATGACTTTGAGAACGAAAACTAATGAGTGTTTTTTGTAGTAGTTTGTAGGTTTTTATAACGTTTACCAAAAACTTTACCTGGGTTTTAAAATTGTTTTACAACTTCATAATGTGACTAATGTGTTTACAAATTGTTATAATTGTCAAGTCAATTGTAAGTTGTAATAGTGTTTTACACTAGATATTGTTGGAATGTGTCCAACAGCAATAATGCTATGCATATTTTCGATCTTGTATAGTTGTAATACTATTGTACTACTTGGAACATCTGGAGAACAATTGTACTGTACTAGTGTCAATTTCGAGATTTCTTTTGCTTGTTACTTTTATGGTACCAAAAATTCTAAAATACTTTTACATTTCATCAAAAGCAATATTGTAAGCAATCATGTATGTCGAGTGTTCATAAAAAGCAATATATTTGTGAAAGTTCTTGTTCGAAAGGTGGTTTTATCCTGTAAAAGCCTCGTATTCACAAGCAATAATATTGTAGGAGGGGGAACCCCCACAATAATGTGTAGAGCAATATATATAATAGTAATATATACGTAGGTTAAGTTATACCCGTACAAGCTAGATATACACTCATTCCCTTTCCATTTTGGATTAAAGAGACATTACCAACTGGGACTTCCTATCTTTCATTCCATTTCAACGAAGAACAAGCATAATGTGATAGTTAATGTTGACGTCTCCTTAATTCAAAGTTTTGCCAGTAGATTTGCTCAAGTTTGTTTCTCACTTAGGCCACGCCCCTCATCCCATCTCACCTATCGTTTTACAAATAGTGATCGAATTTTGTATTATATTATTATATTTTCGTAATAAATAGATTGTAAAATGTGAAAACTCTATTTTCTTGACCTAATTCTCTCATAGTTGTGTTTAGGATATTTCTGGTATTTCTGAGAAAAGGATCAGGATCAGATACATAAATATAGTCAAAGGACTGATCGAAAGTATTAAGACTATTTTAATGATACTATGAATTCGCAGAAAATATAAATACTGCTCTGTGTTTTTGAAAATGCATAAAAAAGTACAAAGTAATGTCAGTTTTAACCAGTTTATTTTAAAAATTGGTGAAAGAAAAACTACATAAATAGTGAACAACATTAGCGAATACAAATGTAACGTTTCTATACTCTGTGATTAATATCGAAACTATTCAGTACTGAAAACATTAATTGAAACATTGATGATAGTATGTGATAATCATTCTACAAAAACCTTACTCAGTAACATGCTCGGGAATCCCCTATACTAGATCGCTTGACGGATCAAATTTAATAAAACCTCTTGAAAGATTATCAAAACACGATAAATTGCATGGTGAATGTATTTAGGGGTACATGATTAACATCAGCCTGATTAATGGGAACTGTATGGTCTATCGATGCACTGAGTAACAAAAATCTCCTGATTAACCACAAATTAAACTTCAACTCAACTACTTCTCAATCAGAAGAGTAAATTACAGCATATTTTTCTTTTAATCCCTTTTTAAAAAAATATGGCCATGAGGAATTAAAAGTATGCTAAAGGTGTGTAGAGCTGTCCTTGATCATTGAGCTTTTTGAAAAGCTAAATAAAATAAATGGTCCTGACTAATGAAATAGCTGACCTTGATCAGTAACAAAGCTACAAAAGTCATCTCACTCCATTCTACATTCATCCTTCACTCATATTGGAGTTAAAATAATCACATAATTAGCGTATCCCCTTCTCAAATGACAATGATGATAATAGACAAAATTCATACCGTGAAAAAATTAATACATTTTAGGGTAAGATGAATTAAAAACCGTTTATTAATAAGGAATTACGGGTTTATTTATTACAATAGTACGTTTATAGCACCTCATTTAAGGTTTATTAATCATCAAGCAGGCCAAAACCTAAATTTGTCAGGACAAAGTTTTAATTTTAACCCCAAACACAAAAAAAAATATTCAAGGTTTAAATAAATTTTCACAAGGAATTAAGGCTACTTTTCGAGAGGCTAACTCTAAGCTGTGAAATAGGACATGTCCCTAAGACAAAACCTCAAACATCTTGCATTAAAAAACCTAAACGATTTGTATAAAAGACAAGCACCTTTGAACGATCTGGTGGCTAAACGCTCCCAGAATGTAAGTAGCTTAGCAGTCTTGATGGTAAATAAGACCATGTCTGCAAACGGAGCCGGGGGAGTCGTGATTCCTCTTTATGACGCCAACTTTTCCCATTCCCCTGCCTTCCCACCCCGACCACCCCATAGTGGCCATTATCGCAACGTTACGGCTCCTGATAAGGCGTACGACTACGATCGTGGCGCCGGGACCACATTACTGCCACTATGTGTGGATCAACACGGTATATCAACAGGGAGAGGGAGAAGAACAAAGGTGTGTAAACTTGTATCCTATACTCTTATATGAGCAATGTTTGCCTGTATGTATGTATACTTCTGTGTGCTAGCACATAATATCAAAAACGGCTTCGACGATTTCCTTCAAATATTGTAAATAGTTTTTTCCTAGGCCTAAAAACGTGTTTAATGCAGTTAAAACTGCCAACAAAACTTCTTATTACGTAAAAAAATAGTTGAAAATACATTTTTTTACATTGGCCCTATTGGTTGCCAAGTACTATGTTGGTTAACACGTTGTCTACCAGCTGCCATAAACTTACAGTAATCCTCTGTATGAGAGGCTTTGTGAGACCTGGGGCCTGTTTCATAATAAAATACAAACTAATATTATTAGTAAATTAGCTGATTGCCCAATTCAAATATAATGGAAATTACAAATTACCAGTTACAGCTTGTAACTTGCAGTTTATTATGAAACAGGCCCCTGGTAGGATATGTGTTAAACAAAATAACAAGGGAAAATAAAACAAAAACTTGTAACATGTGTTTATAACAAGCCATCCGCAGTAAACAAGCATTACAAAATACAGTACAAAGAGAAAACATCAGTTCTTACTATCGAGCAAAGATTACACAGAAAATTACTCGATTTAGAAGTGCAATGGAAATAAACTACCGAGCCATAGCTCAGTCCCCAGTTATAGTTTTTTTTACGATATACAGATTTTGACATTTTGATTAAGCAAGCGACACAATACATACTTAGTATTGTATGCTAAATACTTGAGATATAAATGAAGTAGACAAAATGAAGTAAGCCATCACGAGTATTGTTTTAATCTATCCAAGACCAAAAATATTTAAAGTCTAAGGACAAGTCGTAATCGATATCTAAATACAGTCAAATTCTCAAATACATAGAGACTGTACACTTTAAAATAAACACTTAAACAATAAAGTTGCTAAAAACCATATACAAACCTAAAATTTCTTTCTGAAATTAATGAAATCCCGTTGAATAGAATTGGGTTATATTGGTTAACAGGTGCAGTTGGAACCGGCAGTGAAATAATTCAGGCTCTCCTTGCTGAATCGATGGCTGGCGTTAGCGCCAACAGTTGTTGGGGGGAGGGGGGCTGCAGGCCCTACAAACTTTGCTGCTGTAGCCAACGCTGATTTGGAACTACTTCAACTGGAACGAGGACGCACTTAGGCTCGACAATCACAAACTACCAGTCATTGTAGTTCAGCACTAACTGGTTTTGTGTGGCTTTGTGTTTAGAAAAAAATGTCAATTTTTTTGTAGAGGGATGAGATATTGAAGAGGCAAAACTGTACATTTTATGAAGAGTGTAGAACTTATTTAGTAGCAAGTTATTATATTGTTTAAAATTTACCTAGTTAAATTGAAGATATAAATATAGAGATTATTAAAAAAAAACTTTTTATATGCAATTCAGATGTATAAAAAAGGTCTATTATCAGTCATTATTATTTAGTTCCTTGCAATATTTATCAATTTAAATTGATTCTTTCTAAGTGTATCTAAATTTATTAATTGCTGTTAAAAGTGTTCACTGTATTAAACGTGATTTCACTTGTCCAAAGTATGTACAATTTAAAAATAAATTAACCAACATATTACAATAAATCTTTATTGTATGTAGCCATAAAAAGGCAACATTTTACAGCATTTTATTGTTGTATCAATTAACAATTTTCAAAAATAGATTTAAAGTAATTAAATTTTATTTAGCAAATTAATATATATCACTTATCAGTTGATGTTGTGGATTCCTAAAATATAAGTAATATCGAGTCTGAAAAGGTTTCTGAAATTTGTTTTATATTTCAGGTGATTAATCATTATAATACAAAAAATCATGGAAAACATTTTCGTTGATCAGAAAAAAGGTATTTGTCAACCCTCAACTAGAGGTTAAATTTGAATTGGCAATGGATATATTAATCTAATGTGACATGAGTTAAAACCACACTGAAGTTAATTGTTGTATTTATTTTTTACAAAAACTACCCTAGCTGGCTAATAGTTTTAATATATTATTTTCTTTATTTTGGCATAATATGAAAGACTAGTTGCTTCACTACGGGGTGAGAATGAAGAAAAGAATAATTCGGTTTTTTAAACCTACTTTAAGAAACAGTTACAACACACTTGCCATGAAACATATATGCAAAGGTCAATTGTACTTATAATTAATTAAATGCATATTTCTTAATTAATGCCATCACTTTATATAGTGTATTGCAATACATGCAAAAGTGTAATTCATTGACCACATAGCAACAAGAAACAAATCTTCATAATAAACTAATTTAATTGAATAGCAGAACGAAACACAACAGCTGGAATAGTAAATTTTCTTCATAAGAAATACATTGGGATTTTGATGGCCTGTGGGGCAATGCCCGAGGACTTTTATTACAGGAATCGGTGAAAGGAGGAGTCTACACAAAAAATTCTTTATTTTGATACCTCGTTTGTAAACATCCGTCCATTATTAATGGAGGAGTAGTGTTTCGTAGAAATCGCCTTCACGTATTATATATAAGGATTCAAACAGAATAAAACTAAAACATATCAAAAGGACCATTAAATATATTGTTCCTAACATTAGTATCGGATTCAAAATTTGACCAATTTTCATCACAACAAAGCCAAACAGCTGCCAAAAAATGTTAACCAAAAGTTGAATCATATTTTAATATTACGATACCTCACGTAAAATATTCGGGTGCGCTGAGAACAATCCGTAAACAAGCTCAGAGCGCTTTAATCCCCTTAAGCCTCTTTATTTTATCGTGTCGTTATCATTGTGAGCGTGTCGGTCGTGCCTGGAGGACGTAATCACTCTTTTGTGCTTTTACCTGCAGTACATTAATAAGTTTGACTCTTAAGTGACTTAGAATGATATAAATGATAACATTTTTATTTGATTTTGATTTCTAATATAACTTTAACAATAGATGACTACTTGAGACCCGTGAAATAGTAGGACATTCCTTTTAGCTATTATCTAGTATTGTAGTATTGTATTTTTACATCGGTTTTTAACATTTTTTGTGTGTATTTACGCCAGGAAATTTTAAGTTTTGAAAGGGAACGGTCCAAACCCTGGTCTTGTTACTATATAACGTCGACGTTTTTGTTGGGTAGCATAATTTATTCATAGCCCAATGACAAATGTCATCTGGGTCTGGAATCGATCTCGCTTTGATTCGAACCAGCGACCTTCAGATTTGAAGGCGAGCACTATATCCACTCGGCTACCCAGACAATTTGAGAGTACATGGGAAAAGAGGAAGAAATTCTTTTTTTTACAAATAACAACTACTTTATTTTTTATGCACAGTATTAACGATTTGTCCAGTACGTATTAGTTTGATTCGTTAATTCAGGAACAGTACTATCGGTTCTACTTATAAATAAAAAACAGAGTATAAAAAAATGTTGCTAAAAATACGAGTC